AGGACTTGTTTCCTCTTACAGCTTACAGTTCATCATTGAGGATAGCCAAGGCAGTAATTCAAGGCAGGAACCTTGATGTAGGAACTGAAACAGAGGAGAATGCTGTTAACTGGCTTGCTTTGCTGGCTGCTCAGCCCTCTTATGTATATAGCCCAGTCTCACCTGCCCAAGGATGGTACCACCCACAGTGGGCCTTCCCTCCCACATCAACTATCAATTAAGAAAATGCCACAGGCCAGTTTGATGGAGGAAATTCCTCAAGATTCCCTCTTCCCAGTTGTGTCTAGGTTTTTTCAAGTTGACAAAAACTAGGCAGTACACTGACATGTAATTGATTATATTTAACTAAATCTGAGGAAAACATTACCTTTTCCAAATAAACTTTTTGTATCAATCTTTCTATTTTTCTCTTGGGCTCTTATTATATGTGAGGAATCTTGATAGTATATAGAAAGTAGATAGTATCTGTATGCAGAAATATAATTGATTTTTTAAAGAGTTATTGATATTGTCCACAAATCATTGTTTCTTGTTACTCTTTTAGTGTTTTTTTTCTCTTTTTTTTCTAGATTCATTTTTATAACCACATTTATTAGTTCTCTATTGTTGCATAACAAATTAATCTAAAACTTGATTCAAAATAGCAATAATCATTTATCTCTTGCAACTTCTGTGTGCATAGAATTCCAACTTATCTTGAATTATCAGTTATCTCATTGGAATAATTTTGGCTCAGCTCTCTCACAGATTTGTAGCCAGGTGCTTGCTGGTGCTGCATCATGTTGAGTTGGGCTGGGACCCACCTCCTGTGGTGCCTTTCTTACAGAGCTAGAGCTGGGTCTTTCTTCTTCCTAGGGGTTTCCATGTGGTTGCTTGAGTGTTCTCATGCCACAAAAGCTGACTTCCCTAAGGTTGCAGAATGAGCAAAGGGAGGAAGACAGCACCTTCTATCCCTCTATGACCTGCACTTCCAACACATTCTATTTTTCATGCACTAGACCAGGCATAACTCAATGTGGGAGGGGAACTCAGACACAAATATGGAGGTGAAGATAACTGAGCTCTATCTCGGAAGTTGTTGATTTATTGTTAAGTCCACGTACCTTTTTTCTGCAAACTGCACTCTTCTTTGAGCCCACTATATGTCGCACTTAACATTCAGATGAACTATTTCCAATAGTTCTTCTGAATATTTCCATTTCTCTGGTAGGAATCCCCATCTTTATACTCATTATTATTATCTTTCCCTTAGATTACTTGAACATTTATAATTGCCGTTTTAAATTTCTCTTGTGTATCAAGCTATGAATCATCTTGGAATCAGCTTCTGTAGCTCCCATCCACAGTTCCTTACTGCCTTCCAGTCTGGTAATTATTGTATATTAGATGTTGTCAGGGATTTCTCACACAGTCTCAAATTTTGCTATCTTTTTTATGCAGAATCATTTTTAAATTTCCTCCACCAAACACCCATTTACTTTGTGGGGCTTCTACTCCAAATCATGTATTCTTAGAGTGGGTGAACATTATTCCTTTCCCTTAGTTTTTTAGCCTTCTGGTTATTGCTTACTGCTTTCTTACTGAATTTATTGAAGTTTAGCATAAACTGCCACAGTTCAGAATATTATCTTATTATTTTTTAATTTTAATTGAGGTTTTGTATATTTCATACAACAGCTCTTAACCAAATTTAGGCCCCCTCTCCCATCCATGCCCTCCCCCTACCGGACCTCACCTATTCCTACATACATGTTAAGTCCCATCTAGTCAAGCATTTGTACGTAGATGTCCTTTGGTGCAAATTCATCCACTGGAATCTAGTCAGTCTATCTAGAGATCGTTTATAAGGCCTACTCTCTCTCCCTGAGTGGTAATCAGTCTCCAACAGTTCCTGGGCTAGGGCTATCTTATTTGAGCACAGATTATGTATAGACTTTCTGGAATTCTTAATCTCTACTACCCTGACAGCCCAGAATTCTATTGTCAGATATTTTAAGGTATGAATACTTAATTTCACACGAGTTTCTTTTTTCCATGGGTTACATCATTCACAATTTTTCTGAATCTGTTGTCACACTACATATTTCAATAATTATTATATGTAGTTCAGAAATTATAATTTTTATACTCTAGTGATTTATACCACCTGCTCTGCCATTATCAGAATGAGAACATGTCCAGTCATATCATATGTCAGGGAGCTACTAAATAGCTCACTTGGTATACTTCAGAATGTTTAACTTGTTTGATGATGGATTTGACTTTATAGCCATTCACAGAAATCAGAAAAACTAGGCACACAGCTCAACGTTAGAGCACTTGCCTGTGATGTGCAAGGCCCTCAATTTGATTTCTAGCACCATAAGAAGACAGAAAGGAGGATGTTCTGTTGGGACTATCCCAACTGTTGGTACATATAAGCCTCTCTGATCTTGGGTCATTTAATTTTCCAGTGAAGAATCTTCCAGTCCCTGGAGGGGATGGAGGGTAATTTAGATAAGGCAATATGACAGCATTCTGTGAGAGGACAGATGGGTGTTACATCCTGATTTTTGTAGAATTCCACTTAAATTTTGTTTTGAATATGGTAACAGCTATATCATCTGACCAAAAACACAGTTTTGTTTTGTTTTGAAACAGGGTCTCCCTGTAGCCCTGCTGGCTTGGAGCTCACGATGTATGTAGACCAAGCTAGCCTCAATCTCATAGAGATCTGCCTGCCTCTGCCTCCTGAGTCCTGGGATTAAAGGCATGTGACATCATGCCCAATACAACTAAAACACATTTTATCCTCTTCAATATTTACAAAATTAAATCTATTGTATTCTTCTAGGCTTTGGAGTAGTATGGTTGGCATGGCTAGACATCGAGGGGCCTAAGAACTCCTTGTAAACATTTTCAACCAGTGTCTCCTTTGATGTTTCCTGGTCCATAGCATTTCTTGATCCTGTGGTAACAATTAGAATTTTTTTCTTCCTGGATTTTTCTACTCCAAATAAAGGTTTCAGATCTTTCCAATCTTCTAAATCAATTACCATTTGTCCATATGGTCAAGATTTAGTTAACATTAGTTCTTTCTTTCTTTTGATGGGTTTATATTTCTGTTTCTTTTCATTTTAGTTGAAGTTTAGTAAGAAATGATGAATTTCTTGTATTTAATCCTGCTCCACTTGCTTTAAAAATAACATTATTTTATATTCATCTATTTTAAATACAAAAGCAAGCTACATGTAATAAACAAAATACCTTAGCCAACTGCCCCCTCCCCCCAAAGGCATATTCTCCAAGACTTCCAGCATGTTCGTAAAACTACAGGTAGCTCTGAACCTTGCATGTAACTATGCTTTTCCCAACACAGACATACCATTATCTGTGATGGCTCGTTAGTGATGAATTGGAGTAACATGTACAGGGAGGATGCAATGGACAATGAGATGATTCAAATCCTGCTTGAAACAGAGTAGGATAGCACAGAGTTCATCATACCATTTAGAAGAGTGGGAAAAGTAAAACTTGGGGATTGTTCATTTTTGGAATCTTCCATCTAATTTTTCAGACCTCGGTTTATGACAGGTAACTGAAAATAAAGGAAGCACAGCTGTAAATGAGGGGTTACGGCTATAGTCGTGCATTTTTATAGAAGTCGTATGTGACACGAATATGTATCCAATAACTGGGCTTCTGACACAAGTAAATATTTCTGTCATAACTTCTGTGACATACATGAACTCTCTAACCACTGTTCCTGAAGATAGCATTTGAACAAAAGGGTTCCCATGTCCTTTGAGGTAGTGTACTGGCTTTGGTTGCTTACAGGAGACAAGCATTTCTATACAGAGCTGCTGCCTCTTCTGGATTTGCCTCAAAGATGTGTGATTTAAGAATAGACTGGTAACTACTTTATGCCCATCTTTCCATCCATCAGTGCAAGCCAAGGGAAACTTACTTTGTGAGAACTAGAATTCAGACAGCATGATTGTGATCATCTTGCTTTGCTTATAAGGCTGATATTTTAACATGAAGATTAGTGAATTTTTTCTCTGAAGTCACACCATGTAAGCATTTTCAGTTTCTCTAAATAATCCAATATACAGTGGAATTTGAATGAGCCTATATGTACTTGCTATTCTTAGAGAATTTATGTGTTGGGCATGTGCTCATCAAAAAATACCCACGAGGAATGATTCTGCTTTAATTTTCCATTTCCTATCAGCTAGGGCTAATAGTTCTATCATAACTTGATTGATTGGGGATTTTGTGGTTATTTCATTAATATAAAAGAAATATTTCAACAAATTAGAGGAAATATTGGACCAAGTTTGTGGCTGATGTTTTCAGAAATGGAGATTTACTGGGAAGAGTTTAGTGTATATTAGAAGAAAAGTAGAAAAAAAAATCCTAATACCTATGCAATATAACGACCTACAGTCATTTACTCAGAAATTAGATGTGATGTAACAGCTATTGTGCATACATGCACATGTATACTGCAATGTAATAACTAACTGCCGTTCATCCTTGCTGGAATCCAAGAAGAAATAAAACCCAAAGGTATATATTCAACGAGTACTTAGAATTTCCGTGACAGTTGGTGGTTGGACATTAGAATGCTTATGATGGGGTACATCTCTTGGGAAGAAAAAAGCTTTAACTGTAGTAATCTTTGTCAAGAATGGTGACAGATCCTGCCTTAAGACAGAAGGTTTGAGTAGTTGGCCTCTCCGGGGCCCTTCTCTGAGTCTTTTCTGCTGCTGACCTTTCGAGGCTGAAATTGAACCAGACACAGCCAAGTGTATGCCCTTTTAGGAGCTCCAGCCATGACAGGGCGGCAGTGCCACCCGCAGCGATGACAAATTGAAGACTTCCCTCAAAGGTGAGTCAGGTCAGCATGGGCCCAGGCCTTTCCCTCTCCTCCGGCCCCAGCAAGGGAACCCTGCCAGGAGCTGGTAACCACAGCACACTTCCCTCTGCCACCGATGCATTAAGCTTTGACTATAGGGAGCAGCAAGGGTTGGCTGCTTTAGCTGGTTGGTGCAAGGTGGAAGTGACTCGCCACGAAAGACACGCTCCAGGAGAGATGAGTTGCGCCAGCAAAGAGCAGGTCCCTTTCTCTCTCTCCGCTGGGTGCCCGCCACTGCTGAAGCTGGCCTCCCACTGTGCGGTGTCCTTCTAGGCTGCCGGCTCCTCGGGAGGGCGTGCGGGGAGATACCCGGGACCGTGTGGCTTCCCCCAGCGCCTGCTTTTGGAGACGCCCTCGCAGGCAGCGCGGCAGCCACAGCCTAGGAGGAAGCCCGGAACAGGGAGGGGGCTGGCAGGCTGGCGGGAGGGAGACGCGGAGGTGGGGTGGCGGGAGCCGGTGGGGAGGAAGCCAGTGCTCTGCGGTGCCTCGCCCGGTCTCCGCCGGCTGGCGTGGCTCCGGGTTCCCCTGGCTTCGGCTGGCGAGCTCCCCGGCTCCGCCCGCCCTCGCTCCCCAGCGCGGAGGCTAGCCGCAGCCCGGCGGCGGTGGGCGTGTGCGCGGTGAAGGACGCCACCTCTCTGCGTTCACAGGCGGCGGCCGACAGCTCCAGCTCTGGCAGTGGCGGCGGCGGCGGCGGCTTCCGGAGTCCCGCGGCGAAGATGCTCAAAGTCACCGTGCCCTCCTGCTCCTCCTCCTGCTCCTCGGTCACCGCCGGTGCGGCCCCGGCCGGAAGCCTAGTCCCGGATTACTGGATCGACGGCTCCAACCGGGATGCCCTGAGCGATTTCTTCGAGGTGGAGTCAGAGCTGGGACGGTAAGGCTGGCGCGCCGGGCGCTGGAGCAGGCGGAGCTGGGTCGCGGACTGGGGCTGGGGACGCCTGCAGCGTGCTCACGGGTTGTCCCTCTGGCGGTGACTAGCCTCTCTGCCCTTTGATTTCTGCTCCGGTCAGTGTCTGGGCAAGATCTAGGCTCTGCCAAGAGGCAACCGTGCTCTCCCTGGAGCGCCGAGGCCGGGGCAGCTGGCATCTCCAGACCCTCCAGCCCTCCTTGCTCCTCACCGGCTGCCACTTCTCCTGGTGACATCTCTTACAGCACGTGGGCTCCGCTTTCCCAATTAATGTCCTTTGCTCAGATTATAGTTTGCCAGAGGGTCTTGTGTATCTAGATAGTTGCGGGGGGGGGGCTTGCAGTGTGCCACTTTAAATCATGACAAAATTTTAAATTAGATTCGTCCTGCTTCCCCCCCCCTCATCAAGCTCTCCAAAGCAAGTGACACTAGAAATTAAACTTAAATAGTAGCTTCCCTGCAGCGTGTGCTCAGGAGCGGAGGGAAGAATGAATCATTTAAGAGAGTTAAAGGCAGAATAATGAAGTAGTGGGGCTCTGGAGGGAAAGCAGCACATGGGGGCCAGGCAGGGGTAATTAGTGAGAAGAGCTCTGCTGCTCTTCTTTCTTGTGCTGGAGTGATTTATTTAAATTATGTATGCAAAACGCCATCCCCTGGGGTCAGAGTGGCCCTCTTTCTTGCCTCAAGCTGTGAACAGGTAGCAGCTTTGACTTGTGATGGATTCCATTCGTTCTCACCTCTTTATTCACAGAAAATTATTTTTTCTTTCCCTTTTTCCCTTTCATTTCTGTTGACTGTACCCAAGGAGACTTGTCTTGGAGACACAGTTAAATGCAAACCTTTTGTTATAGGGAATCTGAACATGACTTCAACTGTTGCCCAGTTGTAACTTTTTTTGCTGGTAGTACTTTAGCTAACAGCTCTTTGTTAGGATTCTGGGAATTTGTGCTTAGTGGGAAGGCGTATAGGCCACTGCCCTCCCGACCCCTCCAGTTTGCTTTTACTGAGTACAGGTGGAATGTAAAAATATAAAACTTCAGAAAGGAAAGTCAATAATTTGTTACTGTTTAAAAATTCTCAAACTATTTGAGCATTTAATGTTGTCTATGTAGATACCCATTTTTGGTCACATTTCTGGATGTTCATGTGAAGATCTGTTCTAGGCTGAAATGAAATAGTAATTTTTTTTGTGTGTGTGAAGATCAAAAAGACATCATGCTTGAATGCTGTACTGCAGGGTAGACTTCTGGTTAAAGAGATAATCTACTTGCAACTGGTTACTTGCTGTTTCAGAAGCTGTCAGGCACTAGAGGAAGTGAGAGCTGCTGTGGGGACTGTTCCCCAGCACATCTGAGCAACACCCCAGAAGCCTCTAACAGATTCTGACTTGTCAGTATATGAATAGGTTCTGTCATCAAACACACAACAATTTTCCTCTGATTTGAAAAGTGGGAAAATGTTTAGGACAAAAATAGACTCCTGAGCCTACACATACAAGGGATGAGAGATTCATGAAGTTTAAAGTTCTTTTTAAGATTTTGCACCGCATCTTGAGTGACAGATATAAACCTCCTATACATTGCTAAAGACGTTCCTTGTTGTATAGTCCCTTTTTTCTTTTAACTTTAAAAATCACCAAGTTAAAATACTGCACCCCCCCCAACACTAAAAAGTTGCTTTTCTGCTCTGTTCTCCATCAGTGGTGTGTGTTGATGGTTAAGTTCTCTGTAGATGGCAGTGTTGGTGAGGACACTCACACTATGTGGTTAAGACTGAGAAATATTTTTATTTCATAAATGAAACTGTTTTTTTCAACAGAATAAACTCAAAATATGAATCACCTGGTTAAAAGTGTTTAAAAATGTTAAGAATATGTGAAACCGGAATGCAGTAGAATTGTTGTACATGCTGATCAAGCTACAAAAGCCCTTTTGTTTTCTACATAGTGATCCAGGTGCAGTCATTTAATTGATTTCAAGACTTTTTTCTCAGTCTTGGGCCAAATCTGGGGCCAAGACACTTGATTCCTTGATTGTCTTATGATCTGACATTTGACGACCTCTGTGGTTAGCCCCACAGGGTAGGCAGTCCTCTCTAGTGGATTTGGAGAGCTGTTGTCCCTCTATTAAAATTACAAACTGGTGATTCTTGAATTTAAGAAAGTTAGGTTCAAGGAGACATGGTCGTACACTTTGAGAATGTTTCTGGAAAGTCAAATGGAGTTAATTTCTAAAGCTGTAGCAACCTGAAGCCCCTGGGCAGTGCTAAGCAGGTATTGGCCTCACTGATCCGGAAGTAGCCATTCAGCCCGAGGCTGAGGTAACTTTCTTTTGGGGCTATGTGAAGTATATGAGTAAATGACTTAAAAATGTCAGGCAAACTGTTTGTTCTAAAATAATATTTGAAAATACTTTACAGATCTAGTTAAAATTTTCATAAAAATCATAATATACCAACAAATCCAAAGACACTTAGAAATATGAATTGGCCACAATCCTATTCAGTGAAATATACCTAGAGAAAAGTTGGTCTTTTGCCCAGTAATTTGAGAGACTGGCATTTAAAGGCTTTTCTAATGGAGCAGAGAGTGTGCTTCTGCTTTAGATTCCACCCAGTGGTTTGGCACATGGAAGGAAAAGACTTGGCTTGCTGTGCTCTGTGGTGAGGCTTTGGCCTTGTGCATCTAAACATGTTTCCTGAGTTCAGTTTTGTTCTATCTTTTGTTTCTACCTGTTGAATCATATTGAAAAAATGTCTATAATGAACTCAGGTGCATGCATTCCCAAACATCCAAATGCAGAAAACCCAATGTAAAATAACAGGACAAAGGAAGAACATGTTAAATTATTTTGGTTTTTACTGTGATTTCTTTAGGTTAGTGACCTTTAGCGCCCTACCCTACTAAAACTCAGTTAAAGCATAATTGTATTGGATCTACGGAAAGAATAGAAACAATTTCAGAAAATAATGCTTACTCTTAACCGTCAACAATGTATTCTAATATCTGATTTGTGTTGTTTCATTATACTCTATTAAGAATATTGGCTGAATTCATGTGCTCTGACATCCTATTAATGTATTGGGACTCAGTTGAAAACCCTTATTTTAGCCCATAAATCTGGGCATGTCAGATTCAATTATAAGGCAGACTCCTTTAACAAAATGCCTTGAGTAGTATCCACTTGGCATAGATCTATGGGAAAAACTTGTTCCATTTTTACCTCTAAATCTTTGTTGGATTTTCCCTTCCAATTTTTTTTTTTTTTTTTTTGAGAAAACATTAGTGTCTTCACCAATCTACTGGGTACCCAGGAAGATGGACAGCTGAGGGGCCTGTGACAGGAGGAGCTTCATTCTGACAGTGGAGAGAATGGAGGAGCCACGTTCTAACAGTGACAGTTAAGGCTGGTCCAACAAAGGAACCACATAAGGAACCACATCAAATGTGTCATTTTTGTGAGAAGGGCCTCAACTAGACCTTTTGGCTTGTCTTTAGCACTCTTGGCGTGGGCTATGAGAACAAGAGATGAGGGTCGCTTGAATAGGAAACATTTGTTTTTTACAGATCTGGAGACCGGGAGCTCAAAATCAAGGTGCTGGCTGGCTAATGCATTTCCCCCCAAAAGAGTTTTCTTCCTGTCTTGAGAAGCAGCTGTTTTCTACTGTATCGTTAGAAGGTGGAAAGGAAGAGGAATAGAGAGAAATAAACGGAGCTTTTTGGTGCCCCTTATAAGAAGAGCACTCATCCTATTATGATGGTCTTCCTTCAGGACCCCAACACAAACATGATCACTTCCCAAAGGCCCCACTCTAGCTACCATATCAGAGGGTAGATTTCAACATGTGGGTATTTTAATTGTATGTGGTACTTTCGTGTGTATTATACATTAAAAATGCTCTCCACACCCCCCAGCTCCCCGTCTCAATCCCTGCTTCCATCAGCCCCCTTTGTCCCTTTAGTCAGTTTCATGTCTACTTTCTTATCACATGTGATTTTATTAACAGATGAATTTTGAGCGGACAATTCAGTCCATACCACGGTTGGTAAGGAATCAGGTTCTGACCTTTCCCTTTCTTCTTTCCTTCTCTTTGATCAACCCCCTTCCTAGGCTATTCCTTTGGCCAAGGTTTCTCATGTCCAGACTTTCGGCTTATACTGCCCTTAGGGGCCCCAGAGCCCATGGCCATGTACTAACCACTCTGCTGTCAAGATTTAGCCTCCTCTGGGCAACATGTTACCTTTTGTTTTGTTAGGAATGTCCCTAGCAGCTCATCGGAAGCTTGTGCTGTGCCACCTCTTTGGAAGGATTCGAACTTTGCTTCTGGAAGGCAGAGTGTACGGGTTGGATTTGTGCATGAATACATGTTTACTCGCTAGTGCAGTGCATTGTACTTAGCAGGTGCTTAGCAAATGATTCTAAAGAGAAAGGCTCAAGGGGTGGGTGAAATGACTCAGTGGGTAAAGGCCCTTGCCCCACATGATGGAAGGAGAGAACAGATTCCACAAATTGTCCTCTATCCTCCATGAGCTCGTGGCATGTGGACCCTCCTCCCAAATAAGCAAACAAATAAAAAAAATTACAAAAAGAAAGAGAACAACTCAGTGGTAATGATGTGGACCAGACATAGCAGCACAGCAGGGATATCCTTTTTTTTTTCTTTCCAATCTTTGTCTCTCTTGGTGTTTGTTTGTGAGACAGACAGGCCCATGTTAGTGTTGAATTCAAGATCCTCTTGCCTCAACTTCCTGAGTAGAGGAATTACAGGCATGTGGCACCATGTTCCACTACCCAGTTGATTATGATGTGGCTTCATTCCAGTGTTTCTGGGAAAAGAGGAAAGGGAAATATTGTAACCATATCTTCTCGCTAAAATATATGTTGGCAATTACCACCTCCGTAGCTTGTAGCTCCTGACAGTGATGCTGCTTCTCTGTTGGCAGTGTTTTGAGGTTCTGAAAGGAGAGG